CTTTAGCCCAGCCTGCACCCTCTCCAATCCAGGACATCCCCCTCCCAATCCGGGACTGCTGGCTCCTAACCGCTTGCCTGCCTGTCTGCCTGATTGCCCCTAACCCCTCTGCCTGCCTGCCTGATCACCCCTAACCACTCTGCCTACCTACCTGGTCACCCCTAACCGCCTCTGCCTGCCTGCCTGATGCCCCTAACTGCTCCCCTGCCTGTCTGATCGCCCCTAACTGCTCCCCTGCTGGCCTGATCACCCCTAACCACCTCTGCCTCGGCCTCTGCCACCGTGGCTTTGTCCAGAAGGACGTCCAGAATGATGTCTGAAAGGTTGTTTGTCTGTCTGGTCTAATTAGCATATTATGCTTTTATTAGTATAGATTTTGGCTAGCTGGAAGCATAAATTCAAATCCCAAACCAGAGTTCAAACAGAGCAGAACTACATTTAATTCACATAGATCCTGGGCTAAATAGGCAAACATTCTTGTTGTCTCTGAGCAGCTTTGGCTACTTCACATGCTCATTGAGAATTAGTTCCTAAAGTGGTTTGGCTTTCTGATAGCATCTCAGTTTCAACTTCCTGCCTTACACAGGGTAAATAATCCCCATGCCCATTAAAACCCAAGTCCCTGGCTTATTGCAATTAACAACCCCATTTTTGACCCTAAACCCTTCTGCTACAGGGTCAGTTTTTTTATGCTTTCTTACAAGGGAGGCCTATAGGGGACTCAGCTTGGGTAGGAGTGGCTGTGTGGAGGCCCTTGAATCTGAACCTGGAGGGGAATGCCTACTTCTCCAACCCAGAAGGCTGAGTGCTCAGTCTATAGCAGCCTCTGTTGGGCCTCAACGAATGAAACCCAAGGCTCCACTCTCTGTCCACTTCTGCTGATATCACTCATTCTCCATTTGTGGAGAAGTTGTCCTTTATTTTCCTCTTCCCCTTTTAACAGCAGCTGGGCCACTTTTTACTGTGTGTCTTCCTGATTCCAGTATATTTACTGAAAAACAAATGTGTTATTTGACATCCCCCAAGCCACACACAGAGCCATTTGCTTAGATTTCACAGCACAAGAATACATACATTAGAGCCCCAGGGTGTCCATCAAACTTGGCCTTGCTTTAGGGTACTCATGGTTTACCCATCTTCAACCTACACCTCCATTTTTTCAGAGTGCAGGGACCCCTGATCAGACCCCATCTCTCAGAACCATGTGGCAGAGCAATAAATCAATCTATTTTCTGACCCACTGGGACAGTCAGTTTGAAGAACAGCCCTGAACCAAGAGTACTTACCCAAATGTCAGTATGCCCGCCTCCCCCCGCCCCCACCATGTTGGTCAAGGTGAACTTCAGCTTGCTCCTGGGGTCTTGAAGCTGTCCCACTGCCCCATCTGGCCTCCCTCCCAAACCTAAGCCATAAACCTAAATCTGCCTGCTTTCAGAAGATTCATTCTCGTAGAACATACCTTTTTTGATTGGCCCTGCTGTTTAGAGGCCCTTGGGGAAGAAAGCAAGTGAGAATCGGGCTCCCAAGTCAAACTCTGACCCTTCCCACCTGACTTTCACACACACTAAAGAAAGAGCTCTGGGGCCAGGCAGACCTGGGTCTGAATCCCAGCTCAGCCACTTACCAGTTGTTGTTAGGCATGTGATTTAACCTCCTTGATCTATTCTCATCTGTAAAATGGAGATAGCTAAACATAACTCAGAGCTCGTGTCAGATAAAACAAGACGAAGAAAGTACAGTGGTCAGCACAGAGTACAGTGGAGCTCCACAGGTGTGAGTGCTCATCTTCTTGGCTTCATTAGCCAGACCGGAAGTGGAAATGCTTATGTGGCTGACAGACTCCAAGTTTGAGGCCTAGGGGCTGTGGCCTGTAGTGCATGTGGGGGTGGTACTTGGTCTTGGTGTTCTTCCAGTGCTGAATGGAGTGTTCTGTGTGGGTCCAGGGACTCTGTGGGAGCCCAGCCAGCCAAAAATGAGCTGCCCGGGGCCAGGTGTATGTGGCCATCACCAGGACACCCATGCTGGCCCAGGCCAGGACTTTGACCATGGGTTGCCTATAGTCCTTCTGAACTTTGAAAAGGAAAGGAAAGTTCCTCTTGGCTGTGCTTATCACCTTTGAACCTGTTATCTTCAGAGCCATAAACCCAACCCATTAGGCTATAAAAGTGACTCATTTCAAAACGCTCTCCCTGCAGCCTGCTCCTGGACGTGCACCACGCACCACGGTAACCAGAGGCCATCACCATGTCTAAGGACCAGAATGGAACCTGGGAGATGGAGAGCAATGACAACTTTGAAGGCTACATGAAGGCACTGGGTAAGGGGGTGGCTGGGGGTGGAAGAGGGAGGACAGCTTCAGAAGGACTGTGGTCTGGCCCTCCAGACAGTGCCCCTATGGAGTTCACGCATCTAAGCGCAGGTCTCACTCCTCGCCTACTAGCTATGTAACATCAGGCACATCACACACGTTCCCTGAGGCTCAGATTCCTCTTCTGCAAGTTGGGAATAGTAGTAAATGAGATTGTGTGTAGAATGTCCTTAGCGTAGTACGTGGTACACAGAAAAAATGCACTGAATGGAGGATACACATACACAATCACGCACGCACGCGCACACATATATACATATGCATACAAGAGCAAAGCCAAACTTGAGAGGATCATGCAGTAGCTCACGTTCCTGTGACTGCCATCTCTTAAACAGCCGGTTGGACCCGATATTATCCACCAATGACCCTGCATTGCCCTTTTGTCAGTCTTGTCGTGGGAAGAGAATAGGAGTGGCTAACAAATCTTTCAGGGCTAGAGAAAAGCAAGCCCGCAGAGGCCAGGAAAGGCTTTGGTCATAGAGGTCCAACCAGGTGGTACTGCTTATCTGACTTCTGAAATAGACTCCACACCAGGGGCTCAATTAGTGTGTGTCCCGAGCGGACTCTCTTGTAGGATCTCTCGTGGAATGGGCAGAAGCCACTGGAAGCCAGGGGGACTGGCCCCCCAAAGGGGAGCTCACTTTGCTGGGCAGCCACCGTGGTCCGGGCACTGAGCAAGAGGCTTTGGCTGCCCATCCTGACTTCATCCTGCACCGGCCTCCCGCTCACCTTAGCCAGCAGTAGCATCTCCTCCACATGAGGAGTTCCTGGCTGGAACTTGCCCACACAAAGCAGGAGAACAGTGGCCGCGGGTGGGGCCAGAGGCCCAAGGATTTGGATATGGGGATGGGAAGTCTCATCAAGAACGGTTGTCATGGTCTTGTGTGTGCAGTTAACTTCTAGCTTAATGAACATTTCCAGTGTGTGAACAACGAGGGCTGTGACATGTTCGACAGTTTATAGAACTTTCTTCGTGTGCATTGAACATATTTCCAACACTGGGTAGCTTTTTTCCTCCTGGTGATCCGAATTTTACCTCAATACATGGGGCATCCCAAAAAATGGACGCACGCACTTTGAATAATGGTAAAGGCAGTGTTTATTAAAATACATTTCATTTTCAAAATTGAGCTAGCAGCTGGGACAGCGTGTATACATTCTTAGGGACACCCTGTACTTGGAAGAGGAGGTGGGAGGCAAAAATCCTAACCCTGTTGCACCTGCTTTCAGTGCCCTGAGTGAGCAATAGGAACTGAGTTCTGATTCTATCTGTGGGCAAATAAATGGTCTGGAGCTTAGCTCTGAACAAGAGCATCAGAGGAGGAAAGCGAGCCAGAGGGGCCAACATAGCTGCGGCTTTCTCTCTGACCTTGACCTTCTCAGAACCGGTTTCCTCATCTGCCGAGTAGGGGAAATAGCACCAGCGTTGCCTGTTTCTCCGGGAGATGTCGGCAGTGGAACGACGGGAAGCGCGTTAACGAGGGCCTTTGGGGGGCTGCCAGGTTTGAGCAGCCTGCCAAACAAGCGGATTCGGGGAAATATCATCAGAAAGCAACTTTGTGTCTTTTTCTGCTCATTTTTTTTTAAAAAATATGGAACGCTTCACAAATTTGCGTGTCATCCTTGCACAGGGGCCATGCTAATCTTCTCTGTATCGTTCCAATTTTAGTATATGTGCTGCCGAAGCGAGCACTTTCTGCTCATTTTTAAAGAATGAAAAGTCCTGCGGTGACTTTGGGTATAAAATCCAGCCTCCGTCTAGTTTCCAGCTCTGCAGGGTGGGCCCCTGAAACCCTTTCTCTAGGTTTAAGGTGAGAGGCCAGCCACTCTGTCCCCGCCCTCTGTCCTCTCGGGGCGGAAGGGATCGATGCAAGGCACGCTGCCAGTTCTCTCTCTAGAAACAGCCTTCCTGGGGCCTCTTCCACACCAGTGTGCAGCCTCCGCGTGGGGGAGGGGTTCCCACCCTGGGAATGTGTTGTTTGCATAGCTCTGTCCCAGTGTCTTTGGTATCAGATGCCTATTGTCTCTTACAGCTGCAGTCAGAATTTCCAGTTTAGCGTCATAGATCTACATAGATCTCAAGCTAATGAGGAAACTGTTGGACCTTTTTTTTTTAAAAAAAAAAATAGGTTTTATTGATTTTTAGAGAGAAAGGAAGGGAGAGAGAGAGAGAGATAGAAACATCAATGAGAGAGGAACATCATTGATCGGCTGCCTCCTGCATGGCCCCACTGGGAATCGAGCCTGCAACCTGGGCATGTGCCCTGACCGGGAATCAAACCAGTGACCTCTTGGTTCCTGTGTCGACACTCAACCACTGAGCCACACCAGCCGGGCTTGTTGGACCTTTTTCTGTCAGAGTCTCTGAAGTTTAGAAGGAGTAGGCTGCCACTCTCCTGATTAAGATGAAAACTGTAGGTGGTTGTACTAGTTAAACCCCAAAGGTGGATGTGCTTGATGCCTCAGTTTACCCAGCTGCTGGCAGCCCACCGTGTCACAGGGCCCCAGGAAGTTGCTCCAGCTTGAGGCCATGATGCCATGTGCAGAAATGCTTTAGCTGGAGTCACTTCCCACCATGGAGACAGGATACCTGCTCCCTCTCACCTGCCCAGGAGGCCTCAAGTGGGGGGAGAGGAAGGCCCTGGTGATGACTAAAAACAGGTCTCAAGGGTCTCAGCCAGAAGCAGCTGAGGGAGGGCCACCCCGACAATTTCACCTCAGAGGGGACACCTGCTCCCTCTCACCTGCCCAGGGGGCCTCGTTTGGTGATGACTAAAAACAGACCTCAAGGGTCTCAGGCGGAAGCAGCTGAGGGAGGGCCACCCCGACAATTTCACCTTGTGAATGTGCTTGATGCCTCAGTTTACCCAGCTGCTGGTAGCCCACAGTGTCGCAGGGTCCCAGGAAGTTGCTCCAGCTTGAGGCCATGATGCCACGTGCAGAAATGCTTTAGCTGGAGTCACTTCCCACCATGGAGACAGGATACCTGCTCCCTCTCACCTGCCCAGGAGGCCTCAAGTGGGGGGAGAGGAAGGCCCTGGTGATGACTAAAAACAGGTCTCAAGGGTCTCAGCCAGAAGCAGCTGAGGGAGGGCCACCCCGACAATTTCACCTGCTGAAAGCCCAGCAGATCTGTGCAATTTCCTCCACACCCGCCCTGCAAGGCAGGGGCTGTTGCTCCAACGCTGACAAGCCCATGGAGCTTGCCTGCCTTGCGGCTGGGGGCACGAGGCCCTTGGCATTTGGGGAGAACACACATGGAGATCTCAGCAAGTCCCAAATATGTAAACACCATGAGTTATAACTCCACTTTCTGCCAAAGAATCGTCACTTTCTTAGCGTTAGTCCCAGCGTCAGGGAGTTGGCTTTCTCTGCGGGCCTGACTGCTGGTTCCGGGGGGAATGGGAGACTCCCAGTGACTCACCCAACACCCCAGCTGCTGGCCCCAGCAAGTGACACGTCATGCCAACCTTTGGGTTTGCCCCAAATTATCGAAGTCATTATCTGTTCAAAGAAGGAGTGCCAAGGGTCAAGGGCACCTCCTCTCCTGCTTTCCGAGACACCTGGTCTTTCTTGAGGCCCCAGACTCTTTTTTGACAGCAAAGGAAGGCAGCTGGTAAACTACTTACCCTGAGAAAAGTGTCGTGTACTGAGGTCCTCCTTCCGGCTGGACCAGGTTGTGTCTGATTGTTTTGGTTTTTTTTTTGTTTTTTTTTTTTTGGTAACAGAAATCTTTATGTATAAGTATAGGCACCTGATTTTTTTTTAAAGTCACTTTGCCACACCCCAGCTGCTGGCCCCACCAAGTGACACGTCATGCCAACCTTTGGTTTTGCCCCAAATTATCGAAGTCATTAACTGTTCAAAGGAGTGCCAAGGGTCAAGGGCACCTTCTCTCCTGCTTTCCGAGGCACCTGGTCTTTCTTGAGGCCCCAGATTCTTTTTTGACAGCAAAGGAAGGCAGCTGGTAAACTCACTTACCCTGAGAAAAGTGTCATGTCCTGAGGTCCTCCTTCCAGCTGGATCGGGTTGTGTCTGATTGGGTTTTTTTTTTTTTTTTTGTAACAGAAATCTTTATGTACAAGTATAGGCACCTGATTTTTTTTTAAAGTCACTTTGCAGCAAAAAAAGGGAGGTAATTGCTATTTTTATTATTTTTTTGTAAATCAATAAAAATTATACCTACATTTTTGTCAGATCAACAAAAAATATAATAAATTTTTGGTGTGCTGCAGATTTTAGTAATTAATTTATGTGTGCCATGGGATGAAAAAGGCTGAAAATCTCAGGATGAAGATGATTGTAGGTAGTGGTAAGTGCTTAAAAAAAATAAGAAGGAATGATGGGGTGGAGAATGACAGGTGGTCAGGGAAGGCTGTCTGAGCAGGTGACATCAAAGCCGAAGCTTAAATGCTGAGAAGTATTATTCCAGGCACAGGGAATAGCATGTGCAAAGGCTCTGGGCATGTTCGAGAACCATATGACGGCTGGTGTGTTGGGAGTGTGGTGAACAAGGAAAGATCAGTCCACAGAGGCAGGTCAGGCCTTATGATGGGAAGACTTCACCTATCTTATTCTTGAAGGATCACTATGGCTGCAGTATGAAGAATGAATCACAGGAGGGCAAGACTGGAAGCAGAGATGCCCATTAGCAGGCTGTTGTGTTGTTCAGGCAAAACATGATGGTGGCTTGGGCCAGGGCAGTGCCATGGGCTGGAGAAAAGAGGACAGATCCCGTGTATATTTTGGAGGTAAAGTGACAGGGCTTGCAGATGAATATGAAGCAAGAGGAAGTGAAGATGGCCCCCAGGATTAGGAATAACTGGGAAGGTGGTGATCCCATTGGCTGAAATGGGGAAGGCCTGGGGAGGAGTGAGTTCAGACGGGGGTGCTGGGCAGGGGACATGCATGCAGCATTCTGCTTTCCATATTTTGGTTTCAGATGCTCATTATGCATCCAAGTGGAGTATTAAAACTGGCACATGGATACACAATCCAGAGCACAGGGTGGAGTCGGGGGGGAAGATGGAAGGAATGCTTTCCATCTCGTGAGGGGAAGAATCGGAAGCCCAAGGAAGTGGGGAAGGGGCTTGCCTGGGGTCACCTGTGGCTGGGAAATGCTGCAGTGCAGACAGGAGCCCTGTCTGGTTCTAACACCCAAGCTCTCTCCGCAGCACTGTTCCAGGAGGAGGTACTAGGCCCAGGGTTAGGGGAGGAGGCTTCTTTCTCGCCAAGTTTGTTGGGATGGGGACACCTAAGTAGACAGGCAGGACCCTTAGTAACTGCATGGGAGCTACTCAGAGTCCCTCGGTAAAAACGAATGAGTGTGTGAGTGAGTGAGTGAGTGGAAGTAGAGATTCCCATTAGCAGGCTGTTACGTTGTTCAGGCAAAACGTGATGGTGGCTTGGGCTAGGGCAGTGCCATGGGCTGGAGAAAAGGGAGGAAGATAGGGAAGGAGGGGAAAAAGGGAGGGGGGAAGGAAGGGAGGGAGAAAGGAAGGAAGGAAGGAAGGAAGGAAGGAAGGAAGGAAGGAAGGAAGGAAGAAAAAAAGAAGACAGACTGTCTAATGACCCAAGGAAGAGTTGGCGTCACGCATTTGGATTCCTTCTGGTGCTCACAAGTCAATGAGGTCATTGCCAAAGTCTTTGTATAAACCACATGGTACCTGGTTGCACTTTCAAGCAGGGAAAGTGCTGGGGGTGGCAGAGACCCAGGTGAAGGCAAGTTTGGGCCCTTCCTTGCATGTACTAGCAGCACCTCCATTCTGACCCCCTTCCCAATGGGGAGTAGTAGCCTACAGGTGAGGAGGTAAAATAGAGCAAGGGGAGCAGGGAGGCACCCCAAGGTCTCCGGCCTGCCTCTGCTGGCCAGGGAAAGTTTGAAACCTATTTGAAAATGTCCTTGAGGAGTGAGAGGAGGCAGGCAGGGGGCCAGGACAAGTCCTCTCTAAATGTGTCATACGGAGGAGGAAATGGCATGGAAGAACGGAGAGGATTGCTCCTCCACACTGCTGCTCACAATTGCCTCGAAGTGCTGATGATGGGAGAATGAAGGGGTCCAGGTTTGAAGCCCATCACAGGTGCACTGGGAAGGGTCTCAGATTTCATGTGATGAATATGTGTGCAATCTCTGCTCTTTAATTTACAAAGAGCGCCTGCCCTTTTAGCCTGCAACTCTAGCTTTTTTCACAATAACATTACAAAGCATTTTAATGTTGAGTAGCATACTCATATTTCACCTTTATGGCTTGCATTGTTCAAAATGCAGTTATGAAAAGTATGCTTTTAATAAAGTCACTTCAGTGTTGTTTTTTTTCTTCTGCGGCAGCTACAAGCCATATATATATTATTCAGGACTAGCTTGCCTTTGGACCTTCTCCCCTGAGGTAGAAATTCATTTCACCCAGCTGTAAATCAGGCTCGGAGCTACCTTTCATCCAGAGAAGCAGATAAAACATACTTGATAACCCTGGTGTTAGAATACCATAGCAGGAAAATAATTTTCTCTGCAGAGTACAAAGGGGAAGCGTTTCTGTAACCTGTGTGTGGGTGCGCGTGTGTGTTCTACAGCTGCAGGTAAACCTTCCTTTTGATTAGAAATATCACGGCTCCCTTCCCCAGAGTGGAGCAGAGGTGTCGTGATTAACTGGCCTGTGTAAACGCTAAAGGGTAGCCAAGAGGCCAGGCCATTTTTCAATCCAGAGAAGAAGTGGTGCTTGATCACATTTGCATAGAGCCTCTAACAAGATTCCACTGGCCCCGGTCAGAAAGATTGAGTAGGGATGCTATTTCCAGGACAAGCCGGTCCCCCCAGCAATAGGCATTTTAAACTGCGATCCACCTTTCTAAGCAGCCAAGGACAAGCAATATTTTCTGTTGGGAAAGCCTTAGTTGTGACTGATACACGGAATGCATTTGTAGGCAAACTGTTGGGAGCTCCAGCCCAGCTGAGTAGCTTGGAACCCACCACTTAACGTCTCTGGGCCTTGCTATCCACATCTGGGCAGTGAAAATAGGCTTGTTCTCTGACAAACACCTCGGTTCTGAATTCCTCTGTAATTCCCAGTTCTTTCTGAGTAGTTTTGCCTGAGGAGCCGCCTTCTTTGTTTCATCTGGTTAATATGTGACCTGTGGTTGGTTGGTTGGTTGTTGGTTGGTTTTTTCTTTCCATCTCCACCTGTGGTGCCAGCAGCAGGGTGTGGCCCAGCATGGGCCTCAGCACCGAGGGCCAAAGCTAAAGCTGTTTCCCCCCTGGCCAAACCATGGAGTGAGGAAGCTGACACAATGTCCATGTGACGGGCCAGGGCCATGCAAATGAGCAGATCAGCCGCCGTCTGACTGTTCTTCAGAGTCCGGGGCCCTTGGACAGCGTGGGTGGTGGATGTGTAAGTGTGGCCCAAACATTTCACTCCAGACTGGGTTTGACCAAAACAGAAAAGGCCAAGGTTTGGAGTGATAAAGCATTTTATCATTATTTTAAGTGAATTTTTACCTTAAATAACTGTGAGGTAAGCCATCTTTCCCCCATTTTACTGGAGAATTTACAGGCATAAAGGGGGTCAAATATGATTTGGTGAGAGACCAAGAGCTTAATGATGTTCACAGCAAAGGAACACATTTAGCAGCTCCAGACTTATCCTCCGTTTCTAGGTTGATTCCACAAAGATAGCGCCCTTTTGGCTTGAAGGATGGGTTATGTATAACCAGAGGTTAGCAAGGAGGTGCACGCAGCACTTAGCTTTTTACTGTAAAGTACAGAGCTTGGGAAATGCAACACTCCATTGAAGGGCATGCTCCCTTTTACTTCCTAATGGTCTCTAAGAGATGAGTAAGATTTCCATTAAAATATCGGGACAAAGAAAAGCTATAGATGAATAAATACAGCAAAATCTTGGTAATTGTTGAATCCGGGTGATGAGTGTAGGGTTCCTTGTACTCTCCTCTCTACTTTTGTTTGTTTGAAATTTTTCATAATAAAAATATAAACAAATGGCCATCTTTTCCTTAAAAACAATAAAGCAAATCTCAAAGCAAGTGTTCACTGAGTGTCTACAGCAGCGGTTGCCAACCGGTGGTGCTAGGACCACTGGTGGTCCGTGAGGCCCTAAAGGTTGGTGACCGCTGGTCTACAGTATCTGGAATACACTTAAAGCTGGCGAGGGAGGGAGAACAGCCTACGTAAGTAAGCTCCTAATCTGCTTTAAAAATGGAAGTTTATATGTACCCTTCCCTGCTGGTAGACAATAACAAATTCCATCTTTGCCTATGATCTAGGCTGGTGAGTTTTAAACAGGCTTTTTTCTTTTAAAACATGAAGTCGTATGTTCAGCAAACTCTTCAAAAGAAACCCAATATGTCAAATAAGTAGAATGGAGCTGCTGTGGCGGAGGGATGTGTGTGTGTGTGTGTGTGTGTGTGTGTGTGTGTACATGAATGCATATTGGCAAGTTGCAGCTCAGGCATGACCCTGCCTGCGACCTCCCCCTGCCACCAGGGCTCCCCAACAATTGACTGAGCTGCCCAAACTGGTCAGGTGTAAGACAACTCTTGTTTCCTGCTTAGGCAGAGAAATGGGGCCTGCCCTGCCCTGTGTCTCCGGTCCTGATTGCTTGGCCTTGTTAAAGAAATGAATGAGTCTGGCTGAGCACTCAGAACCTCCACCCCTCCCTTTGCCAACAGACATTGATTTCGCCACCCGCAAGATCGCAGTCCGCCTGACTCAGACCAAGATCATTCAGCAGGATGGTGATAACTTCAAGACGAAAACCAACAGCACGTTCCGCAACTACGACCTGGATTTCACCGTTGGAGTGGAGTTTGAGGAGCACACCAAGGGCCTGGACAACCGGATTGTGAAGGTGCTCAGCTGGGCGGGCGGTTGTCATGTGCACACTCTGGAGGGGCTGGCTATTTGGCTTCACAAAGGGAAAATGACAGCAACAACCTGGAAGGGGGACCAGAATGGACTTAATGATGCCGGCGCTGAGCAACATTATCTTAGGGAGGAAGGGGCAAGCTAGCTTCTGCACTAAGCTTACGAGCAAAGGAGCGATTGGAGGGTGCGGCCCCTGCAGGGTCTGGCATGGGCTGGCGGGCAATGAGAAGAGGGCCCGGTGGGATGTCGTAGGGAGGATTCCGCCCTGTGAGCTGAGCAGGGTAGCCTCCTCAGAGGGGCAGCCTGCTCAGCACCAGCCACACATTGCCACGAGGGACTGATGCCTCATGTTCACAGATTTTTTTCCCCAAGAGATGTTGAGAATTCATAGGTTTTCATATGAAATATCTCCATTTTAGGTGAGCCCCACTGGTTTATTTTTTAAAGAAGAATGAAGTGCATAGCAAACAAAACACTCAGTGCACTGAGTGAAGTCAGGGTTCTCCCGTCCCAGGAACTTCCAGAATTCTCGGGCAAGTCTCTGGCTCTGGGTCAGCGTCACCCTAACTCCCAGGACCTAATGGAGCAAATCCCCAGGCTTCCGAAGGCCAGACTGCCAGGTGTTTGAGTGGCGTGGGTATAGGGAGGATTCTGAAAGCGAGCAGCCCTGAGTTCATGTGTTATCTCCAAGCCCAGGAGCTGGAGTGCAGAGGAGGCCGGCCCTCACCCAGAGGAGCGGTTTGTAAATAAGGCAGAGAGTGGAAGCAGCAGGGGGCAGTGGATGGGGGTGGGGAAGGCAGGGGTAATAGCCAGTCCCCTCTCCTCCAGAGTCACCGTGTGGTATCAGGGCCTGGTGAGCGATTGTCGCGGTGTTAACACTCACACTCCGTGCGCCTGCCTTTGGTTTTCCAAATCCAGTTACACCTGGTCAGTCCCCACGCGTAGGAATGGGGAGAGAGTTAATCTCAGTCCAATTGAAGGATTCTCCCACCCCAACCTTTGCATCATATAAGGACCCCAGGGGTCACACAGTCCAGGAAAGGGTTTCTGGTTGGTCATTTGGTACGACTGCCATTGGCTGCTCACTGTCCATGCCCGTGTAGTTTGCATGAGGGTGGACAGCTTGAATATTCATAGCACCCACCCGATTTGTGCCAATGCAGCCACCGGGACCTCTGCCCTGGCTCCCACGCTGGGGAGGTGAGCTGGGTATCCTACCCCCAGGTACCCATGTTATCACCCCCAGCAGAGGCCAGCCCCTCACAGTGCCAGGACCCTCCACCCTGCCCTTCCTCATTCGCCACGCACCCCACTCTCCCCGGAGTCCCCCTTCTCTCCTGCTTCCAGAAGCTCTTTCAAAAGTTGGAGGTCTCAGCGCTTCCCCAAGTCAAGGGCCATGAGTGCTGTCACCTCCCTGGGATTGGAAGGGAAGGTTGTCATCCTTCTTTGCTACTGACATCCAAGCCATGAGAGCGGGGCCCGTTTTATTTCTCACGCCGTCCTGCGGCACTGTCCTCTCAGCCATCACGTGGAGGCTGAATTATATTCAGTGCCCTCGCTAAAGAAGTCGGAAATGAAAAGCACTTTGGAGATGCTTCCATCAGAGCGGACCTGGTATGAGACCCTCAGTGTCCGCGCCCGGGGATGGCCCCTGCGAAGCCCCACCTGAGAGGCTGAGGGATCCACAGGGCTTTTCTGAACTGCGTGGCTGGAGGGCCCATGCATCAGACACCAGAATTCACAGGAAAATTGGCGCAGAATTTCAGTTGAAAATGATTCATTTCCCCCAGTCTTTGCGTTTTGGTTGAGAAAGAGACCTGTTCTCTCTGACTAGTTCTTGCATCACCATGGATGGCGGAGAACGCCCTCTTCCTGAAATGAATGGGCACTGTCCTCTCAGCCATCACGTCGAGGCTGAATTATATTCAGTGCCCTCGCTAAAGAAGTCGGAAATGAAAAGCACTTTGGAGATGCTTCCGTCAGAGAGGACCTGGCATGAGAGCCTCAGCGTCCGAGCCCTGGGACGGCCCCTGTGAAGCCCCACTCGAGAGGCTGAGGTATCGACAGGGCTTTTCTGAACTGCATGGCTGGAGGGCCCATGCATCAGACACCAGAATTCACAGGAAAATTGGCGCAGAATTTCAGTTGAAAATGATTCATTTCCCCCAGTCTTTGCGTTTTGGTTGAGAAAGAGACCTGTTCTCTCTGACTAGTTCTTGCATCACCATGGATGGCGGAGAACGCCCTCTTCCTGAAATGAATGGCGTCCTTTCAGCCCTTTCTGACTCAAATGATTCCCTGCGTTAACACCCACTTTCCTTCTGCCTCTCCGCTTCCCTCAGACCCTACTCTCCCCAGGATCAGCTCTTAGCCCTGCAGGGAGAGGGAGAGAGGGAGAGGGAAGGGGAGAGAGAGAGGAGAGAGAAAGGAGAGAGAGAGAGAGAAAGAGAGAGAGAGAGAGAGAGAGAGAGAGAGAGAGAATATGAATCCCCTTTTCTACTTTTTGTCTCTGCTTGCCCACAGCAAACAGTTGGGGCTAACTCTCTCTCTCTCTCTCTCTCTCTCTCGCTCTCGCTCTCGCTCTTGCTCTCCCTCTCCAGTGGGGACTGAGAAGTACTCAGGACAGACTTTGCCCAGTCTCCTGCAATGGGCTGTTCCCAAGAGAATCAGCACAGAGCAGGTGCCCTGGGCACTACTTCCTTCCTGTGACTTGACTGGAACCCTTCAGCCTGAAGGGGCGACAGGGGGTGGGTGAGCCAATCAGCCACAGAGGAAGGTGCCCGCGCCTCTGCAGAGTGTTATCACTCTTTTATCTTTGACTGTGAGATGAATTGTATCAAAAAAGCCTTCATTTGCATTTCTCTTATCATGAGTGAAGTTGATTGTCTTTTCTTAGGTTTGAAAGCCATCTGCTAGGGTTGTGTTTTACTTTCCTTGTGTCACCGGGGGAGGGAACCATTTTTCTGCCCAGCGCCATCTGGATATTTATAACATCATCCGAGGGCCATACAAAGTTATCGACTTAAAAACTAGCCTGCTCTATTTGGTCAAACATTTAATTAACTCATTCCTAATGCCTTGGCAGGGCCAGCCCAAATGACGTTCCCCACCCCAAATGTAAGCTGTGGGTTGGCGTCTTCAGTTGAATTTCCTATTAGGTTAATGATCTTTTTCTTACTGGTTTATGGGAGCGCCTTATATAGAAGGGACGCAGGTCTTTTGTCTGACATGTGTTACAGATATTTTTCCCAGTTTGTTATTCACCTGCAGATTCTGAGGTATTTTCCCTTCCAGAAATGTTACATCGTGAGACAGTCACATTCATCATCTTTCCCCCTTCTGACTTGGAATGCTATCTGTCCCATAGGATAAAATGGAAGAGTAGAATTCCTTAAAAGAGGACAGACCCAGCCTCAGCCAGCCAGTTTGGCTAGAATGGCAGGTGTGTGTGGAAATGAGCCTGGAAGGTCTCGGCCGGCCGAGGCTGAGGGCTCTGCCCGGCGGCCAGGCGGGAGCCCGGGCACAGCTTCGGGACTGTAGCTGCAGGTTGACGTTCGTCTGGTCCCAGTCAAGCCCACGCAGTTGATTTGCTGGAACTTGTCGTTGCAGTCGCTGATCACCTGGGAAGGCAATGTCCTCGTGTGCGTGCAGAAGGGGGAGAAGGAGAACCGTGGCTGGAGGCAGTGGGTTGAAGGGGACAAGCTGTACCTGGTAAGTCCTGGGTCTGCCCAGCTCCCTGCCTCTGTGCTCACACGAGCTGCCTGTTCATCCAGCCAGGCACCTTGACAAGAAAAATGGCCCTGCACTTCTCCCCTGAGCTCCAGCCAAATGTGTGTGGTCATAGAGTCAGAAAGCCATTCCTGTCTGGCTCAGGGGTCTCCAGGAAGAAATCTATACGGCCGTTTCTGTGATGGCTGCCGTTAAAATGAAAGTTCAAAATGCTGAGCGAGGGAGCTGAGATCCATGGAGAAATGCAGGGAACCTGTAAAGAGCAGCTGGAGAGAAATGTGATGTCCCCAGAGAGGGTGGGCCCAGGCCTCCTCGCAGCTATGTGAGCTTGGAAAAGAGGGGCTGGGGTGCAGGTGGAACGGACAGGGGGCAGCGGAGCCCATGAACTGCTTGTAGACCACATAAGCTGTGTCCACCGGATGCCAAACTATTTTAGGTTATTCGGTACTAAAGCAGTGCAGTAGGTACCATGGCTGATATCCTTGAATTATATCTGTGTAGGTAGCTTACTTTTTTATTCTTCAATCTTCAAGGCAATGTATAGGTCAAATATTCAAACAGTGAAAAATTCTTCACTCCTTCATGCATTCAGTCACTCATTTGTTAAATAAATGGCTCATTCAACTAATGGCACTTCATTCATTCATTTATCTGTGGAGTCAGGCAGGTGCTTGGCCCCAGTGTCAGTATTCAGGTCACCATGTGCCCTTCAGAGCCAGCCTTGCCTCACCTGGGATCTTTATTCCAGAGGCAATGTCAGCTGATGGATGACCAATGGGAGGCATGCACTGTTTTCCATGGAAAGTTTTCCCTACCTGGCTCCGGTTTGGATGATGGATCATTTTAATTGTAGTGCAATACCCAACGGTCCCTGTGGTGAAGACAATGGATTCATCGTCAACTGCGATGATTTCCTGGTGCTCCCCACACTCGTGTTTTTCTCTCCTCCCTTAAAGGGTCATGAGATACGGATAAGGCTTGAGGGCTCTCTCTATCTCAGTGGTTCTCAACCTTCTGGCCCTTTAAATACAGTTCCTCATGTTGTGACCCAACCATAAAATTATTTTCGTTGCTACTTCATGAACTGCTTGAAGGCCACATAAGCTGTGTTATGAATCGTAATGTAAATATCTGATATGCAGGATGGTCTTAGGCGACCCCTGTGAAAGGGTCATTCGACCCCCAAAGGGGTCGAGACCCACAGGTTGAGAACCGCTGCTCTATCTGGATGAAAAGCAGCATCTTATCTGCAGCCCACACCCTTTCATTGCCTGGGCCAAGACCAACCAACGTTCTGATCTCCCAGGGCCAGAAAGCCCACAGGGCTGAGCCACACGGGTCACCAGCAGGCATCTTCCTAGGCCCTTGCCTTCCGAATGCTTCTCCCCACTAGAGCCTTCTCTTCTTCATGGCTTTGCTGCCTTTTATAAATTAGGTGATGTTGCTTTAATCATGAAAGTAGGAGAAATCCCACCCAAGAGGGTAATTTCTTCAAATTTTTTGTTCTTATAGTTGCTCAAGCTCAATTCAAGGGTCAGAATCAAATCAGGGCATGTCAGCTGATTGGATCCATGAGATGCACTTTGCCCAGAATACGTGTCCTCTTTGTTACAGTCACCGCCCCCCGCCCCACCTCCCACCCAAATCACAGACAACACGAAGGCCAGGGCCCGGGCAGAAGAAAGACCCAGCTTGTTCATCACTCACCCACTTTCTGATGTTGCAGGATCTGACATGCGGTGACCAGGTGTGCCATCAAGTGTTCAAAAAGAAGTGATGGCCATGAGGGGCCTGCTCCACACTCCCAATGAAGGGTTCTTCACCGGCTTTGAGACGAAGCCGTGGGGACCCTCCCACTCCTGACAGAGCCTGTTAAGACATCTGGATGGGTTTTACACGGAACGAATGTGTACCAGTGACAAACATATTCTCCCTCCGTTGAAACCTGGCATTAAATGAAAAAACAAAACTCACTCCCATACTTTGAAATCCTTTGTCTCTCTCTCCCTGTATTTGTAGAACTGTCAGTTTCATCCCCAAGCAGAACAGGTGACTGCCTGCCTGTGGTTTTCTGTGCGGCTTTGTTGTTGTTTATATTTTAGTTTAGCCTGTTTGTTGGTTTTCTGTTAGTTCATTTGTTTGGCGTGGGAGGGTGTTTGTTTTATCTGGAAATGTTCTCTGGCCAACATAGTATCTCCTCCTAATCCTTGAACATTGCCTATTTGAGGTTCATTCCTTTAGATAGCACATTCGTTTCTCCAAGATTCTATTTTAAGATGCATATGCCTTCTAGTTTGTACTTTGCCTGAGCAGCCACGACAGGGGCCTCCCGGAAAGCTGTGCTCCCCCACAACCATGCATGTTCCTGCGGCAAGAAAGCCAGGGAAGCGCCTGGCTGGGGCCTCATGCTGGCTGGGGACCCGGGGACGTTGGGGGATCTTCCCGTGGGCTCTGGGGAAGAGAGGAGCCTCCTGAGGAGGTGCAGCCCATCCCCTGTGGCAGAGCAGGAACCCAGTGGAGGGGCTGCTGAGGTGGGGCCTTTGTCCCCAGCTTCCCTGGAGCTTCTCCGGGTGCCCAGGTCCCCCTGTTGGTGCCCCCGGTCTTGCCCACCACAATCTCAAATGACCCTCTGCTTTGTCCCTGGAGAAAACCTTATTGAATGAAATCGTCTGAAAGCTCATTGGGGACCAGCTGTAAAGTATTCCACACATGTAGGAGGTTGTATTCACTAGTGATTTTTGACCCTAGGGTTTACAAATGTACTCTAGGGTCTGCTAGCCCTCCAAGATTCTGTGACAAGGTTCATGGTCAAATAAACCTCAGGAGTGCTGAGAGCATATCCCCTCCTTAGAAATTCACAGTAAGAATTGGTGTCTCCATAGCTGTGCACAGCCTTGAGCCCTGGGTCCCCTTCACCCTGAAGCATTTCACGCCCACGGGTGTTTTGAGAACACGGCCCTCATGCCTTACGCGTGCACAGCACTTCTTCAATTTCAGAGAACAAACAATGTCATTTAAAACTCCAGTTTCCCACAGGGGATTTTCTCTGTGTATTTTTCCACAAATGAAGAGAAACGGAATGGGTTCGTTTACATACAGCGTGAAAGGCCGATGGTGGCTGTATTCATTCTGCTGACCATTCTTTTTCAACAAAGATGCATCTGAACCTAGAAGCGGTCCAATCCGAGGTACCTGTTTCAAAGCCGGAGCCGATGTGTGGGGCCAGGCCTGCCTTCCAGCCTGCGCTCCCTGTGGCTGAGATAGGACAAGTCGCCTGCCTCCTATTTCTGTTCCCTCAGCCAATTTCAAAACCAAACCATGGCAGGAGTGCTCCCCCCAGGCACTGACAAGGCTGGTGGGCTCAGAGTGAAAGTGGTCAACCTTTAAAACCCACTGAGGCCCTGGCCAGAGCTGCTCAATGGTCAGAGCACCCGCCCTCTCACCAAAGGGTCTCGGTTCCATTCCCCGTCAAGGGCACTTGAAGGAGCCCTGGTCTAGGCCATGCTGCGTGAAGTTCACATGGGAGGTGGGTCGATAAAGATGGGTGTGAGCTTGGGGGAGAGGGAGGAGAATGCTACTCCACATGGCTTAGCGGTGGGAAGGGGAAGCGGGTGCGGAGGGATCTGGGTTAGGCCTAACACACCAGGCAACAGAGCAACAATTGCAAAGGCCACATGCCCTCTCCCCATCACCCACATCACCCTCCAGTGGCTAAATGTCACCCCCTTCGTGTTCCCTCCCCTGGCTGGGCTGGGGAGGAAGGAGCAGCCAGGCCTCCACAGACATTTTCGAGGCCAGGAAGCGATGATGTCATCAGGGGTGAGGGGAGGAGGAGAGGGAAAAGTGAAGGAGAAGAGTAAAGAGGAGGAGAAAGGAGGGGAGAGGGAGAAAGAAGAGTAGGAGAAGGAAAGGGCGGAGCAGGAGGAAAGGACGGGAGGGGTGGGGAAGGAGGGGAGGGAAGAGGAGAGACGGGAAGAACCCACGCTCACTGTGAGTAAATGCAGAGAAAGGCACTGTCCAGGCGAACCAGGCTGTACAGACCGCAGCCAGAGCAGCAGCAGCTGAGGCTCACCCAGGGGCTTTCTCTAGTTCGAACCCCTCTCCCCCAGAGCACAGGCAGGTTCCTTTAAATGACTAGCAGGTCAGCACAGAGCAACTAGGCCTTCAGGCGCTCTAGAGGCTCAGCCTGGGTCCTTGCAGGGTGGTCCAGGTTAGGCTCTTTGTGGAGCATTGTTTCTGTCCTGGAGCTCTTTCTAGGGCTATGACAGAGGAGTCCATTTTACAGATGAGGAAGCTGAGGCTCAGACCAGGTCCAGCATTCACCCTGACCCCACAGCTGGGTCTGTCTCCAGACTCTGAGACCTTCCGCGAAGGAGGGGGCCTGGGCAGGAACAGGGTGGCCCTCCAGACCTACCCTAGACCCGTGGTCGGCAAACTGTGGCTCGCGAGCCACATGCGGCTCTTTGGCCCCTTGAGTGTGGCTCTTCCTAAGCCTTAGGAGTACCCTAATTAAGTTAATAACACAATGTACTCTATATAGTTTAAGTTTAAAAAATTTGGCTCTCAAAAGAAATTTCAGTCGTTGTACTGTTGATATTTGGCTCTGTTGACTACTGAGTTTGCCGACCATTGCCCTAGAAGGTCCCAGAGCCCCAGGCGTTCAGGAGACCACCAATGCCATGCCTGCCCAGGCATCTGTAATCAGCCTGTGTTTTTCTTAAATCAGTATTCCCGGTGAGTCTCCTTCAAGACTAATTCGGCTGCAGGCAGGACCTATTGAGAGTGACTCATTTGCCGTCCCCAGCCGGGGGGTTAGGTCCTGCCTCTGGGCCGAGCCTGCCAGGACTGACGACAGAGCTGGCCTCCCAGAGCCCAGCCTTCCACTTGAACCGGCTCTTTATACTCGTGATCTGTGACCGATGAGAAGGGCAGAGGTGGGGTGTTTAATTTTGGCTCACTGATTACACTGGTTATGTAGATGGATCCAATTAGAAGCTGGGGCTTGAGAAAACGAATCAGCAATGACCCAGACAGAATATTCAAGAGCTTTAAAGATTTGGTTGTAGGTTTTCCGGGGCTGGCCCTCACTTGAGTTGCTCCTCATGCTTCTAGATTGTTCTGGAAAGTGAGGGGAGACCAAGGAGAAGGCCTGGAAAAGGTGGGCAAAATCGCCTTTTCTGGAATATTCTATCAGGAAATGCACCCAGCCCATAGGAGCGCAGTGAGCTCCTTCCGTGGTCAAAGGCTGGGGACATGGAGGCGGAAACAGCCATGTCAGGCTCCTGTCAGGGAAACAGCCATGCGAGGCCGTCCACGTGGAGGGAATTCAGAGCAGGGAAGTGCTCACACAGACAGAAAAGCTTAGAAGCCGCTCAGAGCTTAGCCACAGCAGGAGGCTGCCAGGACCACCCATGGGGCACAGAGGATGCAGGAGGAAGGTGGTGTGGTCAGAGCCTCAGCCAGGCAGGGCTGGACCATGGTGACCAGAGGAGACACAGCCACCGCCAAACAAATACCCCAACACAGAGGAGGGAGGGCTCGGTGAACACCCTGGCTCCTCCTTTCTTTCCACTGTCCAATCTCCCATCAGTGCTCCCACTGGTAGATACTCGCCAAAGCCTGCTGCCCGTGAGCCTGGGAAATGTCATTCCCCACAGTGCCAGCGAGCAGGACAGGGAGGAGAGGGGTCTGATAGCAAACGGGCACCGAGGGGCACTCAGGGGAGGGAGCCTAGATACTTGCCAAAGCCTGCTGCCCGTGAACCTGGGAAATGTCGTTCCCCACAGTGCCAGCGAGCAGGACAGGGAGGGGAGTGTCTGATGGCAAACGGGCACCGAGGGGCACTCAGGGGAGGGAGCCCAGCCCTGGCCCTCCAGGAGCTCCCAGTCTGACTCAGGTCCGGGCAAGGATGCCCACCAGCACCAGCACTGTCACCTGACCTCAGTGGGACACAGAGAATATGACTGGGAGGGGCAGTCTCCGGGGTAAAGGGAAGAGGAAGAGGGGGTCGTCATGAACTGGCCCCTCCTTGTGCCACACAGTACACCAGTGCTTTCCCTACACAGCCTTGCACGGCAGTGCCATCCCCACTTCTCAGGAGAAAACGAGGCTCAGCAGGCAGAGAGGGAACCGTGCCCGGGTTCGCACACAGCCTCACGGAGCCCCGGCTCTTGTTGGCGTTGCCAGCGCAAGCGACTGCCTTAGTCCAGCCACCCATCCATCGTTGGACAAACGCGACCTTTCCAATTGCAGACAAACCTCAATCCCAATCTTCAAGGACAGTGAAGTTAATAAAAGAAAGCACTTATCGAATTAGAACCAAACAGACCAGCTAATTACTTTTAACTCCTATTAAGTCTTTACAAGCCCAATGGAAATGTTTTCTTTTATTACAGTTCATTGTTTTAAGCTTAAAAAGCAATGAAAACCTCTCTAAAACTTCTGCAGAGCCCAGATCCTTGGGAACCACAGTCCCACAGGCTAGACCCCGGGAGAGATGGTCTCAGCGGCCGGTGGCCGGGTGTGCTTAAGTGGGAGTGTGTGGCACCTGGCTTTGCTGTGGTTTTCACGCTGGCAATGATATGATGAGTTGTGACATTGTGTTAATGTCCTCCTGGATCACAAATTCCACAAGGACAGAGGTGGCTGTAGTGTGTGGCCTGCTCTCCAGAGCATCTGACGCCGGCTGGTGCCTCTCTCCTCGGCCCGTCTGCGCCACAGACACAGTCAGCCTGGCATTTATTGGGTACACATTGGTGCCAGTGCCGGTGACAGATGCCCAACGTTCTCTCCATCAACCTACTCATCCAAGAGGCATGTATTGATCATCTGCTATGAACCAGCGGCCGGGCACGGAGGAGGCGGTGGTAAGCAAAGCGGGTATGTTCCCTCTCTTCACAAATTTTGTTCCTAAGCCTCACAGCCTTGCAAGGCAGGGATCATTCTCCTCATCTTATACGTGAGCCTCCAAAAG